GAAATTTGTCTCATAGTTACAGTACTGGAGAACTGCACGATCTCCAGCTCCAGATCCCACTTGCTTGGGATGCATGAGCAGTAATTTGAGTTGGCAGGTTTCTAGACCTCTGTATTTCACGTTCTGAGTTGAGATTTAATCAACTTTGATGGAAAGAAAAGGACCAAAGAAAATTGTCAGTATAATTAGCTGACCCAGTTCCCCAGTTCTGAGACGTACTAAGATAGAAGTTTGAAAACATAAAAATAGTAGCAAGAGGAGAAGGAAAGAAATTAGAAAAATAAAACATTGTAACCGTTGATTTAAAAAAGAAAAATAATCTATAACTATTGCATTTTGTAGAGGTTACTTCACATGTGAGTTGTACTAGCATAGTTGAGGAACAGTGGGGTGAGATATATGCATTTGGAAGCGTTGTCACCAGTCAGTGCTACTTTAATTCAGTTGATCTAATTGTAAGTGTATGTAATAATTCTTACCTAGGGACATGATAAAATCCAACTTTTTGTAGAAATAATATAGAATCGTGGCTGTGAAGCTCAAAAGTTCTGGAAAAAACACAATGTAAGTGATGCATCTCAGTTACACTGTAGCATGTCTCGCTAGTTTTGCAAATAAGTTTTGAAATTTTGCAAGTTTTGGAATTGGAAGTGCAGAAAAACCTTGTTGTTGATTACTGTTGTTTGTTTTTGCTGTTTTTCACTTTTGCATTTTTTTCCTTTATCTTCCATCTTTGGACCTTATGTTTCCCTTTTTATTACTGCCTCAGCTTATTTCCTTCTATCTCTGTAAAGAAAGGGCCCAAAAGCACCCTGTGACACTTTAGATGCATAAATTAGAGCTGCAAAGAGTGACCGTGAAAACCTCATGTTAGCAGTTAAATTGTGCCGTTATATTCCCCTTTTAATCCTCTTTCTTTGCTGACAGAACTGTCCATTTTTCCTGCCTGAAACTGTTAATGGCCAATATTTGACTACATCTTTAGTAAATGTAAGTTAGCACACAGTTTGTAGCATAAGGAAAAGAGTGGCATCTCTTGCTTTGTTAGCAACACCCTCTATTATGTTGGTTTTTTTTTAATGTTTATTCCAAGCTGGATGTGGCTCTGGGCAGCCTGGTCTAGTGGTTGGTGAACCTGCACACAGCACGGGGGTTGAAACTGGATGATCATTATGATCCTTTTCAGCCCAGGCCATTCTATGATTCTGTGACGTGCACTGAGGAGACAGTATTCTTCTTCAGCTGTTTGAGCTGAAGTTGTGTTTGATTGGTTAGGTGAAGATGAAATAGCTTAGCTTTCATTATAACTTTTCAGTGAATATGCATGTTTCACATAAGGCACAGGTGAAAGCAAAACAGCTCCTCTTTGTTGTAACTGCATGTTTGAGTTCAGGGTTAATCGCAGTATTCTTCCACTAATTGAATAGCAAATAATTGTATAGAAGGAAAACTTTGCTTTTTTTTTTTTTTTTTTTTTTTTTTTTTTGTGTGTGTGTGTGTGTGTGTGTGCTCCATGTTTTCTGAAGTAGAAAAAAGTTGATGTTAAACTTATGGTCTGTTTCTTACCATAACTATATTTTTGCGGTACTGTGAGTAAACAGATTCTTAAGAAGATTCTTCAGGAATAGTCAAGGTTTGGAAGGAAGAGTTGTCCTCTTACTGAGGGTAGTATGCTATTAAAAGAAAAAATTATTTCTAATTGCATAATTAGTGGCTCTCTTTGTTGTTTTCAAGTGCATTAAGCATTTTCAGTTGAAATGAAATGGATATGAAAAAAAGATAATTGTAAAGAGTGAAGACTTCCAGTAAAAAAATAAGTTCATTGTTCTACCTAAGTGATATCTGAAGAGTATGAGCCCAATTATCCATAACACTTGCTTGAAGATAAAGCACAAAACTGTGTAATGACTTAAAAATAAATAAATAAAAATAAAAAATAATAATAATAATAAAAATCCAGGGAGAAATAAACTGTTGACTTTGAAAGAAAATTATGTGTAGGTTTTGCTCTTGGGATCATTCAAAAACTATCTCAGCCCTTGTCTCCAGGGATGGCTGAGGGAAGTTGAAACAAGCTTGCTATGATACAGAGGTCCACTTGGTGACATTCTGTAGGTTTCTTTGAATCTCAGACTTCAGGATTGCTCTAGGCTGTGGTAGCATGGATCTTTGCATTCCTGCACTTTTTTCTGAGTTCAGGCTTGAATTATGTTTAGCTGCATGCCATTTCTTAATGAAAAAGGCATATTTTGGAATTGTTTTACTGAAGCATTGTTTGCTTTCCTCCAGTTATTCTCTTACCTACTTAACAATTTTTTTCTTGACTGAAAATAAGGAGGTAGCATCAAAAATCAGCAGTCCTATATGCGATGAACTCTATTAGCAATTTGTTTTCCCAAACTCTGTGTTTGTTGATAGCTGTGTGTATGGGAACTGCTGAGTCATGGCCTGAACGTCTGACTGATCACCTGAGGCGAGCCATGAGTCAGCCAGAGGAGCACAGCTGAAGGCAATTCACCTGTGCTGCCGGAAGGGGTGGAGCCTGGCTGCACCTCTCCTAGACCTATTTAAGAGCTGGCTACCAGTGGGGAAGGATCTTGTCTGGAGATCCCACCTTCTGGTGTTTTGTGGGTGAGCCCAGCATAAGGGTAAGCCTTCCATTTATTCTCTCTTGTTATCATAGTCCACTTCGCCTAACTCTCTTGTTTATTTTGTGATTATAACATCTTGATATCCATTGATTATACACTGTGCGATAAGGATGGGATTTCAGGGTGAAGCCACTTGCGCCATGCAGACTCTAGATGCCTGGGAAGTTTTCTACTTGATTTCCTGTCATTGGGAGATTCAGAAATGTTTTTTACTTATACTCTTGGTTTATCAGAAGTAAGCAGGTTTTTAACTTCCTTTACGCGTGCGTACATGTAACAGTGTTTCTCCCTTATTCACTTCCTAGTTGTAATGAACCTCTATGGAGTCTGGGTTCTTAAACTCCTTCCCTTAGTAGTGCGAGTTCTCAAGCAGTATCCTCTTTAAGCTGAATATTAAATTTATAGTAAACTTTTCATTACAAATGAAATAATTACGTCTATCTAAAAGCGCCTTTTTTTTTTTTCCCTGCAATATGTGTTACAGTCTTTTTTTTTTTTTTTTTTTTTTAAAAATTATTCATAAGAATCAGTGCAGAACACAAGATATATCCAGATTGAAAATGCTACGTGCCCTTCCATGTATAACAATGAAATGTGCATTTTGCTACTGAGATTGCAAATATATCACTGCTATCTGCATGTAATTAAATGATTTAGATTTTCTTTTTGGCTGTACTTACTGGCAAATGTTTCCTGAATGTCTTGATAAACTTGCTGCTTCTGCATTGTTGTTTTAGGTAAAGCTTAAGAACATATTGGCTATTCTTACCTAACACTAGAAACATTTCATTGACTAAAAATTCATTATTAAAAGAGTTGCATATAACAAACTTGTTTTTCAAAGAGGATAAATTGATAAAAAATGAAAGGATTTACAGCGTGGAACCTTAGTTAGATCTTTCAAGTGAGTTATTGGGTAGGATATAAAGCATCTATCCTAAACTGTGTACAAATCACCACACAGCTGTCGCACCCTGTGAACTTAGAAAAGACAGTTCTTTCACCAGTGTTGGTTGCATTTCATGTATTCATTTCCTTACTAATTCCTGTATTTCCACTTTACTATATCTGCTGAGACTTGGCCTGTCAGAAAAACTGACAGCCCTGAGCTTTCCATCTGTTAATCCTCTTAGAAAAATAGCCCCACATTTTGGGTAGTGCATACAGGCTCCAACAGACCTTGTAGAATCATAGAATGGCTTGTGTTGGAAGGGACCTCAGAGCCCACCCAGCCCCTGCCGTGGGCAGTGCTGCCCCCCATCAACTCAGTTGCCCAGGGCCCCATCCAACCTGGCCTTGAGCGCCTCCAGGGATGGGGCACCACAGCTTCTCTGGGCGGCTGTGCCAGCGCCTCACCTCACCATCCTCTGAGTAAAGTATTTCCAGCTAACATCCAATCCAAATTTTCCCTCTTCTAGTTTAAAACCATTCCCTCTTGTCCTATCACTATCAGACCCTTTAAAAAGTTAGTCTCCCTCCAGTTCATAAGCTACCCTCAAGTACTGGTCACAGTGAGGTCTCCCCAGAGCCTTCACTTCTCCAAGCTGAATTAAGTCCAACTCCCTCAACTTTTTTTTCCTTTGTTTACTGGTGTTGTCACTGCATCACAGAAGGCTATCAAAGGTCAGGCACAGTCTGCCCTTAGCAAAGCTGGCTGTCACAGATCACCTCTTTATCTCACATGTGCCTTAATACTGCTTCCAGGAGGATCAGCTTTGTGATCTTCTCATGCACAGATGTGAAGCTCACAGGTGTATCATTTCCTGGCTTTCTTTTTCTCCCTTTCTTAAAAATGAGAGTGATGTTTCCCTTTTTACAGTCATGGGGGACTTTGCTCGATAGCCAAGACTTTTAAAATATGATGAGAATTGTACCACAACCACATCAGTCAGTTCCTTCAGGATCTTGGGATGCATACTGTCCAGCCACATAGACTTGTACACATTCGGTCTCATGAGACAGTCTCTAACTTGCTCCACTCTTACAGAGGAAGTTTTTGATTTCCCCCCCCCGCCCCCCCCCAGCTAGAGGTTTGGGGATATGGAGGAGTGGGAAGCCTTACTGCTTCTGCTGAAGTCTGAGGCAAAGAACTTGAGTACCTGTTTGCTCTATGTCTGTTAAAGCCAGTTCTCCCGTTTCATTTACTTGCAGAGAGAGTACATTTTCCTCTGCCTTTGGTGCTGGCTTCACTCTTTTGTTATATAAATCTTTCCATTCTAATTGAGACTTTGAAATCTTTTGTTTCATCCTCAACCCATTTCAGTTTTATTTAATTCTTTTCAAGAATAAATCTAGGAATGGTGATTGATTGGATCAATCTAACCTGTCTTTTCTGCTTTACTTTTTCAGGATTGCACAGTGTATGAAACAGAGAATAAAATTCTTCATGTGGTAAGTCGTTTTTGGATTTCTATTAATAAATGTACTTGCATTGAACAAATGGGATTCTATCTCTGTGTGTTTTGTACTTTTTCCGTGTATTGCCAGTGTGATAATGAGCTAGTCTGCATATGACTGACTGCTGAATATTTGGAAATAAGTATGAATAGGTAATGATTGCTAGGAAAACCAAGCTTGACATATGAGAAGCCAGCAGCTTTGTAGTGGCTTATGTTTTAAGCTGGTTCATGCCGATCTGTTGTTTGTAAAACATGGTTAGGAAAATGATTTTGAAGAATGAGATTTCCTTTTAGAGAGCTGTTTTCTAGTCTTATATGATATCATATGTAAATGTTAGTGACATAGCTTCCTTTATTCATCACTCCTAGGAGTACTGAGCTAGTCTAGTGATAAGAAGATTAAAGCAGAGCTTTCCTGTTGAATTCTCAGCATAAATACAATAGTCTATTCCCAGATTTTCTACTGCTATTCATAACAAATAAAACAGCTGAAATTTGTCAGCACTTAAACACCAGAATATAAAATGGTTTGGAAAGGCTGACACTTTAGGGGATGGAGAGAAGAAAGTTTGAGAAATCTTGTGTGAAAACTACTGAGATGACGTAACACCTAAGTATTAAATACTAAATTGCCTTTCATGTTCTGTTGGTGGTTTAGTGAGTATCAAGTTAACCCTGACCCTGCTTCTGAAATGTGGAGTCTCACAGAGATGTGAAGCCTTATTTTCTAAGGGTGAAAAATAAAGTAACTTAGCTGATGAAAATGATAATATTTTACCTTTCACTGTATTTCACTTTCAGATAGGTTTTGATATCTTATTTCTCTTATGGTCTGAGTTTAAGGAAGAAAAAAATACTTTATTTTAAAACATGAACTTTCCAGTAACGTTGCTACACTTTTTTATTCACCTCTCCCATATCAAATACATGGCAATCTGAATTCTGTAAGCTTTTGACAATTTGATTTCACAGTGATGTGGAGTAAAATGTCTCCTTGTAATTTTAAGTTACACTGACATTTTTCCCCTGTGGGACACAAGGAATTTACATTTTTAGTCAGGCTGACATCATCTTCTTTGCTAGGCTGATCTCTGCAAGCATTTAAGTAATGAAGTTTTTAATTGCATAATCTTGGCAAAAAATGAAGTACTGTAAGTTTGAATCCATTATATAAAGCCTGATTTTCAATACATGCTTGTTTTCTGCTGTAAGAGCCAAGATTTTTGACATCTGATGTACATACAGTATATAACATTTGCAAATTAGCAAAAAGAGTTTGAAAGAGAGCTGGCAGTGGTTGAAGCTGATGAAGCATCAATTAATATAGTCTCCAACATAAAATTTTGAGGAAGCCAAGAGAGATTCATTTAAGATGTGAATGGACAAATCTGAGACAGGTTTCATTACAGTTACATTAAAAATAACTGCAAATGATGAAGTGACATTATGTTATTCAGACTCACACAGGCTTATTACTTTAATCCACAGCAACCACTTTGTGGTGACAAGTGGACACATAAGTTATCGTAGAGAGCTTAATTACATTCTTTGGTAAGTGCTCAAGGTGACAAGGAAACATGAGCAGAACACCATACTTGTTGCCTAGGGTTAAAGTTAACTTGTATGTATTGTACATAACTTGGATTGTTTCTGATCATGTTACATTTCAACTGATGGATGGAATTTCATGAAGTAAAAGCTGACAATAGCAAACAAGGAAAGAGAAAAATCTCTGTCTGAATAATTAAAAGATTAGTTTTGAAAGCAGATTCTGAATTTGAAAGGGAATATTTTAGAAGTGCAAATGAAAAGATTAATGATAGAATTGAAAGCAGTCGCCGTTCCCTCTAACTCCTCTGGGAAGACAGAAAAAGGTGTTGTGAATTTTGCCTATTAGAAAATCAGGGGAGGATCAGTGTAAGAGAGAGGTTTACAACAACAACAACAAAAAAGTAGTAGGAAAAAAGCCTGATATTTAGAGCGAGCATGTGTCTTTTATCTCAGTATCAAAGAAGAGAGGACAGTAGTTATCTTATTGGATATCAAAATATTTGAATGCACACACATGCAGAGCAGTAAATGCAGTGCAAACCAGGTTAAAGATGTTCAAGAGAGTGATTAAGAATTTAAATCTCTTTTTATAGACTGTGTATCCTTGAGGTGAATGTTAATAAGAAGGTTCTCCAATATCAAAAGAGTAGAGTAAATTTTAATAAAAGCATAGAAAGAATCTTGAATGCAAAACCTGGAAAAACCAGCAGAAATGGAAAGGACTCAGACAGATACGATATACTTTGATTTTCAAAAAAGAGATAATTTAGTTTCTAAGACCGAACTGTTTGAGTATGTTACCTATTAGCAAACAACACAAATTCCTGCTGATATCAGACGTGTCTGACTAGCATGTCATCCAGCTACTTTTTGAATGATCACATACCAATGTGTAGCTGGAGTGAATTACAGAGGAACTTGAATTCAGAATTGCATGTTTGTCCTGTATGATTTCATGTACAGTGTGACAGAAAAAAGGTTCCTCCCAAAAGTAAAAGGCAATGACTTAAAACTGATTACCAATTTGTGTAATTAGCCTATGGAAACCCTTGTTGTAAGGCAAAACCTCCTGGATGCCTACCTGTGCGACCTGGTGTAGGGAACCTGCATTGGCAGGGGAGTTGGACTCGATGATCTCTGGAGATCCCTTCCAACCCCTACAATTCTGTGATTCTGTGATTTTTCTCACTAAGGAAGTATAGTTTTAAAAGTTTTTGAAGTTTTAAAAGATCCTTTTTTACCTATGTAGCTACAGCATAAAAATAAATTAAAGATAGGTATATACTTTTATTCTTTAGGACATCAAGAAATTTGTGATTTTACTATCGCTGGATACAAGTAGTTTATTTTTGTCCATGTCACCTATCAGCGGTCCTGCAGATTTACTTCAGAGCAGGTTGAACATATCCTTCATTCACATGCTTAAAAGTGTTTTCTTAGGCTCACGTGCAATCGTTCGGAGGCTGGAGTGCTGTAAGTACACAACTCTCAGGGAGTTGCTGCCCAGTTCCCAGCAGAACGAGCCTCTGTTGTGCTCACCCATCCTGTCACCTGATCCAAATCAGGGGTCAAGAAGGTGTGTGGGCACAGCTGGGGTATGTGAGACCACGCTGCTATCAATCAGATGCTATCAAAATGCATCTGTGGATACTGCCAACATCAGTGAGTCACTCACTCTTCTCTATTTCCTTGGAAGCATGGTGAAGTAGGCAACATCTCGCACAACAGGCGAGATCCTTAGTTAAATGACAAATTGTTTGGCTTTAGGTAGGGCCAGAAAGTAGTTGATGTGTTCATTTTCTGACAGCAGTACTTTCTTTTGGAAAGTCCTCTTTCTTCGAGATAACTGTGGGAGTTCACGTGGAGAGATTGCTGAATCACCTTATCCATAGATAGCATGTTTTAATGTGAACAAACTTATTTTGAAGTCAACTTTTTGTCAGAGAAATGGTACTCTCTGATGACAGAAAAGTATGAATCCAGCCTATATTCAAGAAGGATTTTTGTTTACTCTTTGAGCAATTGGATCTTCAAATACTTCATAAATCATTTTGTCTTCCCTCATGATATTAGCTTAAGTAGTAAAATAGGCTATTTACCTGAACACATAAAATGGATCTAAAGAAAAAGGTCACATGTAAAATAGCTGACATTTTAAGAAATTAACCATGTCAGTTTTGTTTATTTATTCTAAACAGAAGTTGGAAGAACGTGTATTTGGGAAAAAACAAGTTTCTACTTAAATTTTCTGCCCTAGAATTGCAGGTGTGTTAAAACAACTTTGAAGACTTGTATATTTCTTAAAATTATTTTTACTGTGAATTAATTTGTAAAAGCCATGCAATAAGAAGCATAAAAGTATGTGGGAATAATATGTTGGGTTTTACTCATTAAGAGATTTCTGTTTCTGAAATATTCATGACAACAAAGAAATGCTTCGTATTTCTATCACTGCCAATTTCTCAGTATGTTTCTTTTCCATGTTACCTTTTGCTCAATAATCCATGTAACAAATAAATAAGTAGATGGTAGAAATTGTTATAATTTGTTAATGTAAGCACAGAATAAATGTCAGCAGAAAAAAACACCAACAAAAGTAGATGGCAAAAAAAAATAACTTAAAAGAATCAGTTAAAATATAGTTGGCCAAAATATGAAGTACATAAGCCATGGGTTGTTTTCTTTAAAATTGGGAGTTGCCATTTTGTATCCAGAATCTTAATATTAATTCATCTTGAGATGATAAAGTGCATGGAAAACAGCTAAGCTTAAAAAGGTATCGGTTCTGCTTATTTGGGGAGTTAAGATGTTCGCAAAAGTCAGAATGGAGCTCTAAAGTCTTTTAAAAATAATTTGTGGATTCTTTCCAGCAGTTCAGTGCTCAGTAAGATAGAAATACGTGGTTCAATCAGTATGAAACAGTGCAGTATGAAAATTGAGACTGAGATAAGAAGGACTAATTATAGAAAGCAGAAGTGACGTTCTAGTCAGATTAATAATATTTTTTTACTGAATTTTCAGCTTAATTTTCTGAAGATTATGCTGCTTTTCCTGAAAAGGTGCAGCTTTTTAATCTGGAAAACTGTGGAAATGAGAACTGGAGAATGAAATTAATATTCAGATGTGTAGCAGAAATGCAAATTTACGGCTTGAACCAGTGATTGAGCACCCGGTGAAAGGCAGGCCAACCCAGGGGAGCTCAGCTGCATGCAGTGCACTTGAGCGACCAGGAGGGGTGGAGCCAGGATCTACCTCCTCCCAGACCTCATTTGAGGGTTGGCATTGGAGGCAAGGTATCTTGCTGGAGGTCTCTCTGTATCTGAGGCCTTCCAGGGGGTAAAAAGTCTTTTTTGTTTCTGCATCCACAGCTGCTGGACTTGGGCTTATCATCATTTGCTGTAGCCAAGGGCTTTGCCACCCCACCCCTAGTTCTGTTCTTTC